ACTGTCAAACGACCTGAACTGTCTCCTGGCGGCTCAGGCCAACTCTAATTAAATTAAATTATTGCATTAACTAACATTAATTTGCCTTCGTAGGCACTCCCTCAGCGGCTCTTAGCCGCCTGCGCCCTCTTTTCCCAAAAGAGGGTCGCTCATGATAAGGCACAATACAGCTTAATCAGCCGGCTGCCTGTCCCCAAAGGCGGTTTTTAGAGGGTATCACTTAGGGTCCCCAGTAGGACAGTGAGCCCCTCATAACCACGATAGACCGGCTATCGTGGTATGCGTAATGCATTTTCCGCCTCCCTACGTATAGGGTAGCCCTTTAATTGCTTCGGGCGCAAAAAAAAACCTTAGCATGACCTTTTTCACCGTCTGGAAAAAAAATAGGGTGCAACACGTGAACGAATGTTTTTATTTTTTGTAAAATATGGCACTGATATTTAACAAAAAATAAATAATGATTTCTTAAATTTACACGAACACTACACATTGAATAAAAACTAACATTTTAATTTTTAATTCCCGACTAGTGACAGACCACAGGGGGTGGAATAAAATAAGTAAAAGTAGTGAAATAAACGCGATAAAATCCGTAAATTTAGTTTTATCGTCGTGTGTTCGCGTAAATTTAAGAAATCATTATTTATTTTTTTGTTGTATCAGTAATATATTTTACAAAAAATAAAAAACATTGCTCACGTGTTGTAACCCTATTTTTTATACGGTGAAAAATGCTAAGGTTTTTACAAAGGCTAGCCCCATAAATGGAGGGAGGCGGAAAATGTAACATGCATACTCACGATAGACCGGCTATCGTGGTATGCGTAATGCATTTTCCGCCTCCGCCGATATTTAACAAAAAATAAATAATGATTTCTTAAATTTACGCGAACACTACACATTGAATAAAACTAAATTTACGGATTTTATCGCGTTTATTTCACTACTTTTACTTATTTTTAATTCCCGACCCCCCCCCGTGACCATGGTTGCTGTAAAGCACCCGAAACGTCGGGAATTAAAAATAAGTAAAAGTAGTGAAATAAACGCGATAAAATCCGTAAATTTAGTTTTATTCAAAAAATAAATACAAAAATTTTGAATTAAATAAATAAATAAATTAAAACCTATCAAATTTGAAATCATATCCACCCTAGCCTGTGACCCTGCGAAGTGACAAACTCGAAGATGCCTACAAAATTGGGTATGTTCCGAAATACAACCCAGTACACTGTTAAATGCTAATGACGTCATCAATTGACACTATATTGTACTGGCGTGCCGCCGCCATATTGCGTCGCATATCCTGCCACAATAAAACAATTTTTAATTGTGTGTGCGCTGAATGAAGCATGCCAGAATTTGTTTCTATTTATTCTAATACAAAAAATTATAGAATAATTGCTGGTATATCCATTAGCAGGATATAATGATTTTTGGATCACAAAATGACAAAATAATCGCCAACACATTTCTAAATGGCGCAAAAGTATGACGTCATATACTGTCCAATGTTTTGGAACGAATCACCAGTATAGCGTCGATTCATGACGTCATTTGCATTGGACAGTACACTGCGTTGTATTTCGGAACATACCCATTGACTGTTTTATTGCCGTTCGTAAAGTAAAGTAGGGTGGATATGATTTTAATTTCGATAGATTTTATTTTATTTATTTATTTAATTCAAAATTTTTATTTTTATTTTTTGTAAAATATCAGTGCCATATGCTTCTAGTTCGTTCACATGTTAAATCCTATTTTTTCCAGAAGGTAAAAATGGTCATCCAGTATATAAAGAGAAAGCTAAAAACTTGCATACTGGAGTGGGAGCAGAAAATAGTGAAATAAACAAGAGACGAATTACTACTTCAAAATGTTCATTTAAAGTCATAAGAGTCAAAATTTTAAAGGAGAAATGCTAAACATTGGCGTTGGATAAGCTATTTTGGATTTTAATAAAAGATGCCAAGTCTATGAGGGTATATAGTAAGAAATTAAAATTTTTAATGCATTTGCAAGACGGCAATAATGAAACCAGATCTGTAAAGTGTACCCACGTAATATTATTAATTATTATCCAGATGACGTAGACGAACATTTAGTGAATAAATGAATTTGGTTAAAATCTTCTTACACCTCTTGCAGTGAAATATTTATGAAAAGAAACGATCTTCTAGATTTTTTTAACATTGTCAAGCACTAGCTGTGAAGAGGAACACTCTCTCTCCAGAGTGTCGTATATAAAAAACAAATATAGGTCAATAATGTTGAACAATCAACTAAATAATCCATCAGTTCTTTCCATAAATTGTGATGTTAACAAAGGACTGACAATGTGATGAGCAAATAAAGAAATTTGCAGTGTAAAAATCTAGAAGTCTTTGTAACTTACTTAACATAAATACACATAACCTTTTTTTTTAAATTGATTAGTTTGATTAATTTGGTAGGACCCCAAGTAGTGTTAGCACATACAGATAATAAAAGTGTACTAATAATTATATGTTATAACACTGCAGATATAACAGACAGTGACAATGATGTTACTTAAGAACTTTTAAAATGAGAGTTCATCCATGACTTTTTCTCTTACCACCACCAGGACTGTGCTACTTAAAATTGTGGTTTAATATTTGAAAGTATTCATAGCGGGGAAGTTAATTTGTTCGGAATATGTAAAGGTTAATGTTTCTTTCTGTACTCTTAGTTATATTTTATATTAATTAGATTAAAAAGAAATAAACTAAATCACTAGGGCATTTTTGTGTATTAAATATAATACTTCAGAAACGGATAAACTTTTGTTTAAAACTAACTTCTAATGAAATTTCTAAACTAACAAAAAATGGAAGCGGAAGATTATTAGCCCTGATTGAGTAGTGTTTGCCATTAAATCCTTAAATTTATAACAATTACACAAACATATGCAAAAAAAATTAATGTGCATGTAGTATGTATAGTCCACCAAATATAAGAAATACCTTTTGACGTTTCACATTAATCATTTCGCAATAACTTTGCACCAGCGTACTCACAGAATTTAAAATAACCTTTACGTAAATCCGAAGAATTATGAAGTTATCTATATGTCATTACAACGTGTATAGTTTTTTATCACTAAATTAAATTTGAATTTTTCAAACAAAGCAAAATATTAAAAAATAACCAGTATTAACTTTTTTTACTTGACGTCGTTTTAATATAGAAACTTCTTTTACTTGAAAATATTCAAATAATCGGTATAAATTTTCAAATAATCGAATCGTTAATTTTTTTAATGTATTATTTGTTTAATTTAATTTTTATTTTCAAAATTCCTCAAATTACGTGAATCATGAATAAAAGAAGTTTATTTATTTTTACTTTGTCAAAGTAAATTTGTGTAGGTAAAAAATCATATACAAGGCCGTGCTAAAATAACCACTACCTAATTTCAATATACCGCCATTTTGGTACTAGTTACTCGACTCCACAGTCAGTAATTCATACATCTGTATACGCTTTTACAACAAAATCCCAGAAAATATACAAAATTTGACGTAAGTACACATAGTTTAAAAACTTTATTAAACTAAGTTTGTATAAAAGGGTTATTTTAATATTATGGAATTTATGGATGATAATAACTCCTGGGAAGGGTGATCGCTACCAAGCTATTTCTAATTTGTTTTGTGTTGTTAATTGTAACACGCATAATTGTAAGCTCTTATTTTTTTAAAACTAGGCCCGTTGGGTTTCTTGCTGGTTCTTCCCAGGACAAAAGTTTTTTTTGCGAACCAGTGGTAAATGAAAAAAGTGACTTTCAATAAGTATTATTCATAATCTATATTGAATAAAAAATTTTCTGTTTCTGTTTCCAGAGCTGACTGTGCGTAATTTTGTGATTTTTTGTTTGTCTTCTTATTTTTTTATACTCGGTTTTAACTTTTTGGACTGTTTCTTCTATAATAAATTTTTGTACGTGGTAGAACCACGCTACATCTATATTACAGTTATAGCACGAATGGGTCGGCTCAACAGGGCAGGACCACGCTCTCGCAGAATACCAGCGTAAAATATTAACGTAATGCTGCTGTGTTTCGTATGGTGAGTGTAGAGAACCGGCGACCCTTTTTACTGGAATCGAGGCATTCCATCTTAAGCCTCTGGGGTGACAACGCATTTGCATTTTGATTCTTAATTGAGAATAAATTTGTACGTCTATGGGCCATAGCATCCACTTAACATCAGGTGGACTGTGTGCTCGTTTGTCACCCAATGCTATAAAAAAAATATTCGTTGAAGCATGTGCCCATGTCACAAAGGATGATTGGTAAAAAGTGGTAGAAAAAACAAAAAAAAATTATTATGGATGACTTTGAAAGAGACATTAATTTTGTCTGCATTATTGAAAATCTAATAATAATTAATATAAACAACGACATATCTACTAGTTTTACTGAAAATGATTGAATAAATTTATTTTCGACCTAGTTTCAATCTTAAATTTTTATAACTGTGCCTCTAGAAACAAGCCGTAACAACAAATACGAAGAAACTGATAAATCTTGTGTTTTAAATTAATTCTGGTATTATTCAAACCAAACTAAATGATTACCAACTCTAAATAATCGATATCGATTTTTTAAAGAATCGAATATTGTACGTTCCCATTTTCTGATTGGCATGCCTGGTGCAATAAATCTGACAGCTGTCAAAATGTATTTCTTAGATTTGGTTGACTATAGTAAATACCAGCGTGAAATACCAGCTTAATATTGCTTTGTTTTGTATGGTGAGTGTAGAGATCCAGAGCACCTTTTTTACTGGAAATGAGGTATTGCATCTTAGTATTCAGGGGTGACAACGCATCTGCGTCTCGATCCTTAATCAAGGATAAATGTAGATGTCTGTGGGTCAAAACATCCACTTACCATTGGGTGGACTAAGTGCTTGTTTATCACCCTTATTCTATATAAAAAATGTCACAATACAAATATCTATAAAAAAGAACTTACCATTGGGTGGTGTCAAAACATATCCATTCTCCTTAGCCCAGCCACTGGGTGTATATAGGGTGACGTTGGGTCTGCCCAGTAATCATACACATAGTCCCAGCCGTCGAAGTTGATCAGCAGCCGGTTATCTAACATGTCGGCCACGCTCGCTACACACACCATATCATTCTGCAAGTCCTCAGCTTCCAGCTTCATGCCGATGCGGAAGCCGTTCGGTTTTACCATCTGAAACAACCAATGTCTTGTAGCTTCATTGTTATTAGCCTGAAAGCTGTAACACCCTATTTCACCCCCTCAGGGGTTGAATTTTTCAAAATCTTTTCTTGGGGGTCTACGTTGAGAAAGAAGTATTTACGCCAAATTTCAAGTCAATCGGGCATATAGTCTTGGAGATCTCGTGATGCACGAGTGAGTCAGTGGTATTTCATAAGAGCCCAAAGCTGAACAAAGACTGGACTCCAAAGCTGGAAACTGAGGAGAGTGGCTTGAAAACACTTACTATAAATAATGAAACAAATGTAGGTTTCTTTATTTATGGTATAGTATGAAACCACTTATCAAAAGTGTGAGTAGAACTATAAAAATAACAAGTAAATAAAAAGTATTACCTTAAAACTATTACGATTACTTGATTTTCATTTTGCTTTTCCAAAGCAAAAGGGAAATTAATTAAATTATGTATTATAAATTGGCTATTCGAATAGCGGTGCCAATGATGACTAAATTAAATTAATTGCCTACTTTAATACTCAAACACTACTCAATTCTAAAATGTTAAGTTTCATAGTGTTACAGTCACTTTGACTTAAAGTAATAGAGACAGCTTGAGGCTTAACGGCATCTTAAAGTTGAGCAGCATTTGAGTATTTGTATTAATAAGTGGGTAGTATAATATATTTTAAAGCTGAAGTTTCTAATTTTGAAGCTTCTATGTCTGCTAGAAGTGCCTTAGAGTTTTGATGATCAGTCAGTCAGTCAGTGAGTGACAAAATTAAGAAACTTTGACTAGTTATAATTCTTCAAATTTAATGAAATTTGAAATATACTGTGATTATACAATGCCTGTTTGGTTACTGAAAATTCAGGCTTCTAGTTATATCCACAACGATGTTATAGGGGGTCGAAATTGGCCTGATCTGCTTCGAGAAAAGGATGGTACGGCCGTGCCGCTTTTTTGCTCGATTTGGCGGGGGCAGCGCCGTGGCCCCAGATAGGTCAACAGTGTTGAACAATCGACTAAATCATTCATTCATAGTGATGTTAACAAAGGACTGACAATGTGAGGAGCAAATAAAGGAATTTGCAGTGCAAAAATCTAGAAGTCTTTATAATTTATTTAACAGTTGTTATTTGTGTATCTAAGTCCTATAAATTTTTTCCGGACCGTATTAAATCATATTTTATATTAAATGACGAGACCTAATGTAAAATACCCAACATCTTAATATAATACATTGGGAAACCAATAATTCAAAAATGTCTCTATGGCAAAAAAAGCTTCCTATTGGCACTATTATTAGTTAGTATGTTATTTACCATGATGTATATGAAAAAATTAATACTTACTGTAGACGTTATATGAGGAAAGAGATGCCTCGGCGCAGCAATAGCCCGTATTTTCTTCAGATACAATGGCCAAGAAAATGTCTCCGCTGTGTAACTTGCAGGCGGTGTTAACGAACGCCCATTTTTCTCGCACCATCCAGGCGGAAATATATCTATAGAATCGGCATTTACCCAATAGTCATACAGATCAGCATATTCATCAAAATGCAGACGCATGCGATATCCCTGCACCTCCGCCACCGATACCACACAAAACAACGAAGGATGTTGAGGGTCTATTGCTTCAAGACGCATGCCCACTTTAAAACGATTTCGGTTGTAAGGGAAGGGATCTTTGAATAACTTAACAGGTGCAGCTTTAGCCTTACAAATATCTAGATAGCGCATCCATGAGAATCCATTTTTACCACACATCCATGGATATTTCTCATCCTCAATCAAATCCTCACTCATTTTAAGTAATGCAGCTTCCGATATTTGGGTTTCAGCTGGTGTTGACTCATAATCTTTGAGAGGAACTTTGTCATCCTTAGCTTCTTGCATCAATTCTGAGTCAGAGAGTTGCTTTCTCATCAACAATTTTTTCATTTTGTGCCTTTTTTTCGCTAACTCTGCTCTTTCTTTCTTCTGACTTATCTTCTGGACTTCTGTTTGGCAAGTCAAACTGCAGTAATTAGGAGTAATGAACTCGGCCGCCATTCCGTGACACCCACAACCATCACAACGGTACAAATCCTCTGGTGACATAGGCTTCTTATCTCTACTGTTTCTTTCTATTCGTTGTTTAAGTGGCGTATGATATTTGGCACTCGGATTCATAACTATTGTACCATGATCACTGCTTTCAACCAGGTCAATAAGACCAAATTCATTTGTCTGGAATTTTAGCTTGCTGCCCTGAAGTTGTGCAACACCATTGCTCCATACCAAACCTGGTGGATCTTCTTCTGAAGTAGGCTCACTACTATCATTACCAGTTTTACTATCCTTTGAACTATATTTGTTCAAATGTTGATTATATAAAACATCACTGTTTTTATCTGTAGTCAGTTTATTTTTTTCCTTATCATCATCAGGATCAGAATCTTCAATATTAGTTCTAATATCTAAATCTTTGTCCAATTGCTCATCGCAAAATAAAGATGGCACACGATGATCATCATTCATATCTATATCTGTGTTAGTTTCTATTTTGTCAGTTTTTATCTGTGGAATTGTAAGCTTGATAGTTTTATTTGACAAATTTTCATTGCATAGTGAAATGCGTCTCTTAATACTTGCATTGGAAACTTTTCTCTCACTATTGTCGGAATTAGAACGCCGAAGAATTGCTGGAGCAGCCACAGGGACAGGTCCTATCTCAGATCTGTCAATAACATTTTTATTTAATAAGCTTTTACTTTTCTCTGGAATGGCCAAAGTAAATGATTTCTCTCGAGTTTGACCACCTTCCTCATCTGCTATAGACACTGTATAAATGTCATCATTCATAGAGGCATTTGTTTCAGGTATTGATAAAGTGTATTCACCCTGCTCTCCAGTAGGCTCAGCTCTTGAACCGGGTATAGATATTGCAAATGATTTATCACTTTTAGGACTCTGAGGCACTGCATTATCCTTCCCATTTACGTTGACTAATGTTGCTAGAGGCTGCAACGGTGGCATTTCCGACGTCTCCATAGGCGCAGTATCTCTCATAACAGTTATGTTTCCCTGAGGATCATTTTGAATCTGTCCATTAGCAATTTGTAAATTGATTATAGGACCTTTTGAGGCCATTGTGGCAGGCAATGTTACAGGCAAAATAAATTTAGTGTTTTGTATCTTGGGCATATTCATAGGAGTCAAGAAAAGTTTTTGATTATTTGAATTAACATTTGATTGATTGTTCGATATAAGGATTGATTGACTTTCTGATAAGCTTTTTGTATTTGTTTTCTTTACAGATCCTAGGTAAGCGATTGCCTGTTTTCCTTGAGCTCCCGGAGCAATGCTGACTGGAACCATCATTTTATCATTTGTTTTGGGCTTTTGGATTACAATTGGTTGAGAAGCATTGGCAGGGGCTAGAATAGATGATTTATTCTGGACTGGCACCTTTGGAATTTGTGCAATATTTGGCTTATTGTTCATATTTGATATTAAATGAATATTGGAATTACTAGTAACCTGAAACAAAATAAAATATTACAATAACATAATTGAAGAATTATTTTAACTACTATCTCAACATATAAATGAATATACCTCTAATTCTATTGGTGATGTTTCAAAGGGTTTACAATTTATGAAATATACATACAAATATTTATATAAAAACATTTTAATATCTAGACATTAGCTTTTGTAAATAAACATGTTATCCTGTATGTACCCAGTCAAACTTTTTTAAGAAATGTTGACAAACAAGCACAAAGTCCATCAGATGGTAAGTGGATGCTATAGCCTACCTAAGACGCATACATTTATCTTCCATTAAAATGAAAATACACTGTCAACTTTAAAAACCAAGATGGAATACCTTGTTACCAGTAAGAAGCGTCTTCAGTTGTCATTACTCACCATACTTTGGAACTGTCACCATGGCTTGGTTGGTATATATAATTAATGTAAGGAAAAAATAATTAATGTCAAATAAGACAAAATAGTAATAGATATTCTCCAAAAGATGTTTTTTTAACATAAACCTCAATAAATAAAACTAAGACTATGTGAATTAGAGGGAATTTGCTTACTCCACTCACTCATCAATTTGTGTAAAACAAGATTTTAAACAAATGCCCTTTGACCACACCCTCTTCCTTTTAGAAAAAAGAATTACAACTTGTACTGTTGCATCAACAATCATATGATATGAAAATGAACGAAATCAAAACAATATCAAAATACAAATGATTTAATGATTTTTTAAATTTACGCGAACACTACATATTGAATGAAACTATTATTTACGGATTTTATCGCGTTTAATTACTTTAATTTATTTTTATTATTATCTCGACGTTTCGGGTGCTTTACAGCACCCATGGTCACCGTGGGTACCATGGGGTAAAGCGGAAAAAAAAAATAAAGTAATTAAACCATATAATCCGTAAATAATAGTTTTATTCAATAAAAATGATTTATTTGAATTTGCACTATAACAAAGTGTTTAACTGCAAGTCTGTATTTTGAGAACCATGTCACATCATATTATATCAGAAGTGTATTGATATTAATGTGTTGATGTTGATCATCATCATCATCATCATTACAGCCCTTCACAAATCCACTGCTGAACATAGGCCTCCCCCAAGGTATGCCTCAAAGTACGGTCCTGAGCCACCTGCATCCATCGACTTCCTGCATGTCTTACCAGGTCGTCACTCCATCTAGTGGGGGGTCGCCTTACACTTCGCTTACCGGTACGAGGATGCCACCTTAGAAAGTTTTTTCCCCATCGGTTGTCGGTTCTTCGTGCTATATGGCCGGTTCATGCCATTTCAGCTTACTAATTCATTCAGCCATGTCGGTCAGTCCGGTTCTACTACGGATATCCTCATTTCTAAGTTCATCACTCAGAGAAACTCCGAGCGTAGACCTCTCCATAGCTCGCTGAACAACCTTGAGCTTCCTCATACGGCCAGCAGTGAAGAACTACGTCTCAGATCCATAGGTCATCAATGGCAACACGCACTTGTTGTATAAACTCGCTTTTAGGTTTTCAGGTATCCCTGACAAGATGATGTGTCGTAATTTGCCGAACGCTGTACAGCCGAGTTGAATCCGTCGATTGACCTCTCGGTCGAAGTTGGACTTACCTAGTCGGACTATTTGTCCCAGGTAAACGTAGTCGTCAACAACTTCGAGCTTAGTGCTCCCAACCACTACGGGCATAGGTGTGACATGGACATTAAACATGATCTTTGTTTTGTCCATGTCCATCTTAGGACCTATCCATTGGAAGGCACTATTGAGGTCATTGAGCATAGTGCTTAAGTACTCCAGCGATTCTGCCATAAAGACTATATCATCGGCAAATCGAAGGTGAGTGTACTCGCCATTGATGTTAAACCATATCTTTTCCCGTCCAGTAGCTTAAAAATGTCTTCCAATGCAGCGGTGAAGAGTTTCGGGGATATAACGTCCCCCTGTCTTACAACTCTCTGCAGTTGGATAGGTTTCGTACTCTGGTTCTGTACTTGGATAGCCATCGTAGCCCTACTGTACAAACACTTCAGCACTTCGATATACCGACAGTCAACTTGGCACCGCTGAAGGGACTGTAGCACCGCCCAAATTTCGACGGAATCAAAGGCTTTCTCATAGTCCATATACGCCAGGCAATGACAGATTGTACTCTTCGGACTTCTGTACAATTTGCCGAAGGGTATGTATGTGGTCTATGGTACTAAAGCCTTTTCGGAAACCGGCTTGTTCGGGAGGCTGGAAGTTGTCAAGTCTGCGTGCGAGACGATTCGTAATTAATCTCGAAAACAGCACAGCACAGTTGCTGTTGATACTGATATGCAAATACATCACTCATCTTCCATTAACCAAGGATATCATCATTACTTTATCAGTGACCTCAATATTCTCTTCAAATGTATAGATAGATCTTAAGATAAACATGGGTAAGAGTAAGTTGATATCATATGATGATTCATGGCAGACTTTTAAAATGGCAGCTGTCTGGAATACTCAAATTTCAAAATTGTGAGAATGAGTTTACTTGGGATAAACTGCTTAAGTAGACAATTCCTGCTCAATCAAGATGTTGTTTCATGGATTCAACTTGGCTGTGTATCTCCACATCTATTATTCCCAAAACCATAAAGCAACACTAGTGCATGTTGCCAGTGATGATTTGCGAAATCAATAACTATGAGATCTTTAAATCACCAAGCAAGCTACTAAAGGGGCCCAGAGACGGTCAAACGGTTTGATTCAAACCTCACGTGTTTGACCAAACTGTTTGATGTCACTTTGAATTTGCATCAAACAGAAGCGAGCAGTGTGGCTTCAAAGTTCAAACAAAAAAGTGTGAACTGAACTGAAAAACTATGAATTAAGATTTTCTCGTGTTTATTGTATTAATGTCTTGCTTAAATAATAAGAAAAAAAGAAAATGAATTTGGTTACAAAGAATGGTACAATTAAGATATGGAGCTTCAAACAAAACCAAAATATAAACTTCCATCAAAGGAGCTTTAAACATGTAACGTCTGATTTAACCTGTCATACCAACAGCGTAAACTATCAAATTGATTTAACTCCAACCAAAATCTACGTGTTTGAATCAAACCATTTGACCGTCTCGGGACTCCTTAAGAGAGCTATGCTTGAATACATAATGAAGATATCACGAAAGAACACCGATTCCTACCAAGGATGATACGTGAGGCTATTGAAATTAAAAAACATCCTAATTTCAATAGAGAAGGCGGCTGGGTACTACCACCTGCTTGGGATCCTATAATTAATAAAATTAAAACTAAACCCAAGCATACCACTGCAAGACCTCAGGACATAGTTCATTTTGCATAGATCGGACCATAAAAATTAATTAAAAAAAAGCTGAAGGTACTCCGAGTTTAACAATGACATCGGGACTTCAGTCATCTCAGTCCCCCGTGACCATGGGTGCTGGAAAGCGCCCGAAACATCGGGAATTAAAAAAAAATAATAGAACTAGAGTAACTTAATCAAATGGGTCAGAAAGCTGTGCAAGTGGTAATAGGCTGGTCATTTAGCTCAAAGAACAGAAAGCCAATAAAGAAGAAAGGTTCTTATACTGTTAAGCAGGAAGAAAATCAGTAAATTATATTTAGGTTTACACAAATTATATTTTTTTGATGTCTACATGGTATTCCTCAGCAAAACGTAGTACATCCTTAAATATATAATACCCCCTAAAATAAGACAAATATAAAAAACATTCTTAAGGTCTCTTCAATCATTGTAACATACTACTAGTACACGACAAAGTGAAATTACCTATTGCTGTTTAAAAATTATAGCCCTCAATCCACATATTATTACAAAAATATGTATAGAAGAGAATAGAATTTATTATATTTATCTTTTTTTTTTTTTAGGAATTCTATCGATACTTCATGCCCATCCCATTATACCTTATACTAATTACTGCTAACACTATAGAACAAAATACTGAAGATCCGAATATTTATTTATTATTCTGTTCTAGTAGCAAACATATATATATATATATATATATATAAAAAAAAAATATCCTAATTACTAATCTTCATTTAACATATTAATTATGCTTTGCTTAGGCACAGGTATAGTTTATAAATCATTTTTCAATTTTGTTACACCAGATAGCCTATGTCAGTAAACAAGTAGCCACAATGCAAACCTATTGTAACAATTGTACACAATCGAAGTTATGAATTGACAGTACATGAAAAATTTAAAAGGTTATTTAGTACAGTTGGATGTTTATTTAAGAGCTATAATTTTGTTAGAATTAATAAATTAAAAAATAAAAGTGGAATGGAATACATGTGCGATGAAAAATACTTTTTGTGAGATTATTTTATAACACAAAACTGGATTGCATTTATCTATCAAACAGAACCTGTTTATATTCAAATTCTATAAGCCTGCAATATCCATGTAAAATTTTATAAACATGACCACAAATTATGATTGAAAATAGTATGCACTGGTTCCGAGTAGCACATTAATATTGACATTTTTTTAAATTGTATTGAAAAGGTTATGTTAATATCAGAATATTCTTAACTAAATTTTAATTTTTAAATCAAGTTTAGGTCATAATTTAAAGGAATTTAGATAATCATTAGAAGATCATAAATATACAAGTATTATGTAACTACATACCAAGTCTTAAGTTTTAAATGTATTATAAATATTAATATTTCCTTATTGATACAAAATGTATTCATATTAAATGCTAAAAGGGTACTTACCGGTCTTCTTACTATTATTTGTGGTGGATTGCCACTAGTGCTGGCTTGGCTTATCACCTCTGTACTTGTAACTGGTTTCAGACCAGTTGGCGTTTGTATGTAGACTACATGAGGGACTGTTCTAGGTGCACCTCGTAGCTGTACGGTCCCAGAATTAGAGTTAGGTAGAGCCAATTGTATAGGGTTGTTAGAGGAGTTAGGGATTTGTACAACAGCAGAGTTAGCACCAACTTGTACTTGGGATACAGATGTGGAATTATTCATTTTTACTTGAACCGCAGATGAATCAGGAAGTTGGAGCTGAGTAGAACTTGACACATTCATATCAGAATTCGCCTCAATATTTGTGGGTCTGGGGTTTGATCCCATATGTACATGAATTATTGAACTGTGAAGAGGCTGCGCTGGGCTTTGCAAAAGCGGCATGGATGGCAATGTTTGTCCTGTCAATTGTATATTCTGACTAGCTGTTGGTAATTGCAGAGGAACATTAATTGTTTCACCAGCTGGTAATTGAACTGGTACATTTGTAGTACCTGAAACTTGCAGTGGAAGACTAACGGGAGCTATTTGCAATGGTACTGTGCTTGTAGCACCTGATAATTGAACAGGAACATTTATATTAGAAGTGGAACCTGGTATTTGCACTGGTACATGTACAGTTGAAAGCTGCAATGGATATGGAGAATTATTAGTGTGAATTTTCACAGGAGCTATAGAATGTGTAACTAAATTGTGAGGGATTGGCATAGAGCTCTGAGGCGCCTGCACCGAAGACACGATCATACTGCTCGAAATCGGCGCCTGAGAAATGGTAAACAAAGTCAATATATGCAGACCATAATTATAGTATTTTATGAGTTTAGCTCAACTCACGCGCAATGTATTTAAGAGCACATTATGCTGCGAACTGTTTTGCGACAGATTAGCGCTAACGTTAGAGTTCGCAGCTTTTAATAATCTTTTTTTCAAAATTTCCGTTTTCGGATCATCAAAGTTTTGAAGTGTATTAGTCTGCTGCCTCTCCATTTCTCAGCCATGAAAACATTATCCGAACCATTACAGATGTTTGATTATCTTTTGCAAATCATTAGTGACCACCTGTAACGTATTTAAAAATAAAATATTGTTAAGTAAATATCATCTCTGAGCAAAACTCACTTTTATAAATTCACACTTTGTGGTAAAGTTTGTTGAATAAAATAAAAATGTCTACAGAAAAATAAAAATAAATTCAATTCACTTGTTTATACCAAAATTAATACATTTTTCTTTCGCGACTATCGCACTCTATCAATTGTGCAGCTACTTTTGCAGGACCACAACCTTTTAAAAAGAAAAGTTCTCGAAACACTAAAACAGTATATTATTACTTACATTTAACACGTAGAATTTAAAAAAGAATTTTCTTTGTAATATTCTATCTATTACAATGCCGTTATCGTGTTAAAAACCATTTAAGAAAAATACATTTTATTCAGTAAAGCGACGAAATTTACCTGCCTACACAACTGGTAATAATTCTGATTTCTGACAACATAGCCAAATTATTACAGCATTTCTGAGGTTGGTACTTTCGAAATATTTAACCAATCAAGTACAAGCATTTCTACGACAAAGCTTTCGCGCCTGATTATTCAGCTAAAAAAAGGAAAGATGAGGATGAGTGCAACGTAATTATTATCGTAACTATAACACAACTCACAAAAGAGTAATAAGTCTTATTTTTAATCCCAATGTTAAAATAATGAGGATTTTTTTTATATAAAATATTGTCCTATGTCATGTTTATACTAAGTAAATAATAAAAATAGTTCCAATTATTTGACATTGTTGCTACGTAGAACGTCATAATTATATTCAGTAATCTATGTAGAACGTAGTTAAAAATATATTTCAGGAAACAAACTTTTAGGTTTTACTCCATGTTATGCTAATACTAATATACAACAATAAATGTTATGTATAAATATAATATTTGGAAAAAATATTTTTATTATAAGCTTATTAAAATTAAAGTAAAAAAATAGAAAAATAATTCTACAGGAATTACCGGAAACGGAAATAGAAATATGCATATCATACATTTGTATAGATAGGTAAATTTAGAAGATAGCGTATAATACCTAACACTGTCGTTATGAGTTTCCGTTCGAATAGTATCCCATTCGGATAGTTGCACTAGAATAGGGAGTATAATTTATTATAATACATATATTTATTGAAGCAATGTGTACTACGTTAATAGAATATGCTTAATATATAATGTTTAAAATACCATAATTACGAGACTAAGACTAAGATTGATGCGTAACGTTACAAATCCTTAGTTAAAATTGAACGTTTAGTTCGTTAATATCACAGAACACTAATACCATTAGGCGGGTTAATATACAATACATTTTTTGGGGCAGTGAGCTCTTTTTTTCTGCAATAAAATCGAAAAACTACAAAAAATGATTTTGTTTGCTTTTTCAACTTTAGTTATTTATCTGATTCAAATAATATTTTGTAAAACAAACGAAGAGAAATAGGGAACATGGATTTTTACATATTAATATCTCATTATGTTATGGAATATTACATTATTCTACAAGTAAGTAAATTATTGTACATGTCCATTGTACGATGCAATGAAATAGACATCTTCTACTGCAGCCTTCATAAAGTTCATTGAAGAGGTGCACAGGGTCTGTGTGAATTTTTTATAGTTAATAAACTTTAATATTTTATATTTCTGAGGAAATAATTATGTGGATATATATGTACGGCATTGTTTTTGTGATATATAAATAAATAAACATGATGACATATCCAATCTATACGGATTAGAGGTGTGTGCAAGTGTGATTCCAGTCAGCTAGATTATATAGTTGAACTTTTGTTTACCTGGCCTTCTGCCGTGGCGATTCTACATTATATGGTTTTGTACATTACGCTATGTACTACTCGTGCGGATAAAGAATGGGACGGAAAATGGCGTCGCCTCTATTCACCTCTCTCTCGCACACTGTCGCTATCTCATAGATATAGTACAGTGTTAGTATATACTAAATCCATGCGCTATCTGCACTCCTTCAGTTTTTGCTAATTTGTGAGATACGACGCGTTCTGAGAGTTTTCTTTAGAATTATTCTTGATTTTGTTAGTTAATGTTTTTATTTTAAAATATTCGCATTTCATTAAGACACGGGTAACCATTTTTATTCGTTTGTCTGTCCGAGCTAATTTTCGGAATGGCTGAATCGACTGTATAATAAAACTTCACGGACGAATGGAGTATAATACCAGTAATAAATAAATTTTATGCGAAATATTTCAGGGAAAATATTAAAAAATCTTTTGGAAATTATACAATGTTGCATGCATTAAACGCTCATGTTTTTTTTTTTTATAGGATAGGGTGATAAACGAGCACACAGTCCACCTGATGGTAAATGGTTGCTATGGCCCATAGACATCTACATCTATCCTAGATTACGAATCAAAATGCAGATGCGTTGTCAAACGAGTATGTATGTACCATATGTAATGCAACGATTATGCGTTGTATGTTAAACTAAATGAGTACGTTAACTAAATAAAGTATTTTTAAAACACAGGAGTTTTCACAAATAACCTTATTACCATTACTTCTAAATTTCCGATAATTTTATGTCAAACGTCATAAATAACAGAAAAAACCTAAAGTTCTCGACTCATAATGCTCATATGATCGTGAAAAAATGGAGAAGAAAATTCTCAGTCAACAATAGAAAATATATTTTTTTAATTTTACTATGTTCTTATTATTAAGATTAAAAAAAATATTATTGAAAAAAATTTTTTCTGAATTATCTTAAAACGATCAGCAATCAACTTTAATATTGCATTAATTTTTAAGAATTTGTACACAGGCATTATTGTAAAAACTAGTCTTTTTTACCTGACTCCTTAACAATTTTTATTCTTATCACCTTTATATCGTTTTCAAAAAGTTTTTCATCTGATCATAGCCACTATTTTAATTTGACATTCACCAAAGTAAGCCTTCAGGTCACTCTATCAAATGCGGAGGTAAGATCACATCATAACTAACAAAACGAAGCCAAACTCGGCTACACAAGACCTAGTTCTACTCTTCGAGAAGTTCCAGTAACAAATACCGAAGTACACCTTCAGAATACTCCATAAAATCCAAGACGTATAAGTATACTTATATATAAAAAGCCTAAATAACAGCAACTCCGATATGTTGCAGCGGCACGAGGCGCAATACAGCAGAATGTGATCATTGACGTCAACGGATGCAATCGGAACTCTGCAATATAGCTTTACTTTATTTTATTGTAATAATTAAAATTCATTCTAGATCTAGTATCGCTCCGATTCACTTTTATTTTAGTTGTAGTAATTATATTGTAATTTTTATATTATAATAAAGTATTTTAAATTAGTTTAGATTTTTTGGGTCCTTCGGCTACAGTTAACGTAATTAACCATATATTGTAATGAAAATCTTTGATTACAAAAATAATATTGATATCTAACCTTGGTCAAGAATTTGGTTTTTGGAACATTTTTTATTTCTACAGGGATCGATATTTTTCATCACGAGCCGCTGTAAACAAACGATACAGTAACCCACTCACGATGGCGGTCGAATTCGGATTGAGTCAAAGTGTACTTAAGACACCGAAAATGTCGGAATTCCTGTCGAAGAAAAAATTAATTATAACTAAACAAAACAAAATTAAAAAGCCATTTATATTCTATGGCTTCCCACATGATAGATGAAGAGATTAAAAAATAGTTTGAGTTGAACAATTGATATTATCAAAAGTTATCGTATTTACCCCGCCATGAGGACTTGATAAATCGACACCATAATCCACTAAAACCACTTTTTTTAATATAAAAATAGCAGTTAATCGATTTAAAAATAATGGTACTAAGTTCAGCAATCATTTATCTTTCTTACAAATTGCTTTTTATATCAATTTATATGTTTAATATGGTTGCTAGATACGATACGACAAAACGTTGGATTCTTGATTTTTTGGTGCTAGTAGAACATTTAATCTTAAGTTTACATAACGCCATAATAATAGATCCCACGCATGAGAAGTCAGAGAGGGTCGCAGGATATAAATGTTATTTTGAAATTAGAATACTTACTTGGGTGTAATACAATTCTTTTCAAATATTTTGCCATAAATAGAAAATTTCTAATTAACCAAATGATATAACGTTATAAACATATACTGTTATTAGCGGGTTTTCGCTATTGGTACTGTGAATGCTGACCGTACGGGCTCGATGAGTCGACATTCTAATCTCATGCTTTATCCGTTCGGACTAACCACAAACTAATAAGAGTACTAACGTGTGGGACTAACATAGAAGTAAAAAAAACATATGGAGTGAAATGTTTGACTATGGAAAAAATAGTTATACAAATATGAGGCTTATCGACGCTGACATAATAATAATACTGCCATCTCTTTTTAACCTTCTTAATATTGTGTAAGTGAAAAAGGATGATAGTATTTTTGACAGCTACTATAATCGCAATCCTTAATTCTAGCCTCATTGAAAAACGTATTTACGGCCGGGACGCCATTTTATCCTCTCGATGATTAGTACCAAAGTTGGTACCTCAACTGTCAAATCCTCTTGTGCTGTTGATGTAATTTGTGAATTTTGTAGTAATTTACTGTGTTATTGCGTTTGAACTCGGTTCAATAGTAGCAATCGTCTATAGCAACGTCAATAGCAACCTACCCAATTGCAATATAATCGGATGTGGCATCAAAAGAAGTAGAAATCACCCGAACATTTCATTACACCAGTACGTACTTAATTTAACTGAAACATCTTTAGAATTAAATAAAAAAATAAAAGATCCTGCATTCGTTGAAGAGTTTCAATAGTGAAACATTAATTATTTCCCTTGTGCTTTTATTTTTAACTGTACTTCATAAAATCATTTTCTTGTTTTTGAAGGGATTGAGTGAGTGAGTCGATAATGATATTTCATCAAAGACATT